GCACCAAGCAATAAGAAATTCTCAAGTAGACATGTTATATAACATCAGACAAAGAGAAATTCTTAAAAGCAATCAGAGAATAAATAAATGTTTAAAAAAATCAGAAAAGCTAGATGAGTCACAAAGGAATGATGAGACATGTTTTGGGTTTTGTTTGTTTGTTTGGTACCAGGGATTGAACCCAGGGGCACTTAACCACCAAGCCACATCTCTAGCCCTTTTTTATATTTTATTAGAGACAGGGTCTTGCTGAGTCACTTAAGGCCTCTCTAAGTTGCTGAGACTGGTTTGAATTCACCATCCTCCTGCTTCAGGATCTCTAGGATTACAGGCATGTACCACTATGCCCAGCTGACAGCATGCTTTTAACCCCAACAATGGAAGCCAAAACTCAGTGGAACTATATCTTCCACCATGCTGAGGGGAACTAGCCATCAAGCTGTAACTGTAGACAGAAACCATTAAGTGCAAAATGAAGGCAATTTCAAACCAAAATGTAAACATACATAAATACATCAGAAAACTATACAAGGGAAAAAAAACAAGAGTGACTTACCCTGTCAGATATGAAATATTATGAAGATACAGTAATTCAAATAGCTGAATAAATGGCAAATGATTAAGCCCACACATGAACAGCCAAATGTAGTGCCCCCCAATGCAGTTTTGGGGGGTATGGTACTAGGGATTTAATCTAGGGGTACTTTACCATTGAGTCACATCCCCAGAGGTCTCACTAAGTTGCTTAGGGCCTCGCTAAGTTGGCAATTCTGGCTTTGAACTTGGAAGCCTCCTGCCTCAGCCTCCTGAGTCGCTGGGGTTACAGGGATGCATTGCGCCCAGAAAAAAAAAAAAAAAAACTGTAATTCTTAATAAAGTTACCTCAGACTTAGGAAAAAAGATAGACTATTCAATAAAAATTTCAAGACAACTGTATAGGCACTTTAAAAAGAAATTAGGATCTCTACCATATTATACCCCCCCAAAAAAAAATGTCAGAAAGATCAAAGATCTAAATGCAAAGAAGAAAAAAATGAAACCTTAAAAGTACTAGAAAAAAAATGAGAAACTTTAAATTTTAGAATGAGAAAAACTTAATTATGACCTATAAAAGAAATATGACTATAAATGAAAAAAACAGTAAATTTGACTTCATAAAAAATAAAAAGTTTGGCATGTTAAATGTTTTAATCAGCTTTTTCACCCCTGTGAATAAAAGACCTGACCAGAACAATATCAGAGGAGGAAAAGTTTATCTGGGGGCTCACGGTTTTAGCAGTCTTAACCCATAGACAGCAGGTTCCATTCCTCAGGTCTCAAGGTGAGGCAGAACATCACCGCAGAAGAGTGTGGTGGAGGGAAGCAGCTCATGCAATGATCAGAAAGCAGAGAAAGAGATTCCGCTTGCTAGATACAAAATATAAACCCCCAATGACCCACCTCCTCCAACCACACCCCACCTGCCTCCAATCTTCATTCAATTAATCCCATCAGGTGATTAATTCACTGGTTGGGTTAAGGCTCGCACAAGCCAATCATCTCCCCCTCTGAACCATCTTGCATTGTCTCTCATGTGAGCTTTTGCGGGGGACACCTCACATCCAAACAATAAGAGTAAAGAAACTCTGTGAAGTAAATAAACAAACTACAGTGGGGGAAAAAAAAGACAAATGTATTAATGCTGAAGTTTTTGAGGAAACCAATAAATGACACCCCTCTACCCTGCCTTATTTCAAACTGAGAAATAAAATTTCAGATATATGGGATAAATAAGTCTAGGTATCCATCAGTCAAGATGAGGACTATAGTTGTTAATTCTGTCTTATATACTGGAAATTTGCTAATAGAGTCGATTTTAGGTACTTTAACCACTAAATAAATAAATAAAAGGTAACTATGTAAAGATGATGGATAATTTGTTTAACTGCAGAAATCATTGCTCTGTGTATGTGGTGTGAAAACATCATATCTATACTTTAAACATATATGACTTGGGCTGGGGATGGGGCTCAAGCGGTAGCGCGCTCGCCTGGCATGCGTGCGGCCTGGGTTCGATCCTCAGCACCACATACAAACAAAGATGTTGTGTCCGCAGAGAACTAAACAAAAATAAATATTCTCTCTCCCTCCCTCTCTCTCTCTCTCTCTCTCTCTCTCTCTCTCTCTCTCTCTCTCTCTCTCTTTAAAAAAATAAATAAACATATATGACTTTAAAAAGAAGGAAAAGAAATAGCAACTTTATTTCTGGTAAAGTCTTAGTTATAATGCTCAGTAAGAAGACCAGATGGGTCTGCTATCAGGACCCCAGGTTGAGAAGGTCCTGAAAAGTATGACATGCTTGATACATAATATCAACACTGGCTTTCTGTCTTCAACACACCAATCTCCTACCTCTCTCAGGAACTTTGTGCTTGTTTCTCTTCTGCAAAGAAATGAGCTTTGTTAGATATTCTCAGGTTGGTTCCTTTTCAACACCTCAGTTCAGATCTGTATTCCTCACAGAGACCTGCTCAATACCTGCCTGAAGTTGGCCTCCTACCTTCATCACAATTATCACAGTCACAAATTTTCCTATTTATTTATTTGAGTAGCTATATGATATTTCTTTTCCACTAAAATATAAGCTCCATTAGAACATAGGTTTGTCTTATTCATCATTGTGTCTCCAGAACAGTACCCAATACAGATTATGTGTTCAATAAATATTCACCAGCATAGACAGAAGGTGTGCTGACACAGCCTAGAAGGGTCTGTACCTTGGAGACGTGTGGGACTAAAAAGTCACATTAAAAAAAAATGATAAAGAAAATAACCTGGTAGAGGGGGCAGAGCCCAATAGTCCCATATGGCAGGAACTCAAATATGTAAAAGGAGAGCAAAAGTTAAAGCTGAAAATATAAGCAGAGAGTAAGATCATAAAGGAGTTTTGCTCCAAATTTGGGCATTTAGTAGTCAGATTTACATTTTGAAAAAGTTCTTCATCCCTGACATTAAATAAAGTCTATGGCTAGGCTAATTTCTTTAAAAAAAAAATTAATGAATGAGGGCTGGGGTTGTGGATCAGCGGTAGAGCACTCGCCTAGCATGTGCGAGGTGCTGGGTTTGATCCTCAGCACCACATAAAAATAAATAAATAAAATTAAAGGTATTGTGTCCAACTACAACTAAAAAATATATATCAATGAATGAATTCAATATGGAGAATGGGTTTGAGAGGAGCACTTGTAGAGGTGGTGGACCAACCCCAAATCTTCTGCAATCACCTGAGAAATGTTGGCTGCCTTCAGGAAATACCCTGCGGTGGAGAGAAGTGCTTAGATATAAAACCACCAACAAAGGTTGATCCCTCTTCCCTTGCCCCCTGATCATGTCTCTTCATAACTTTCTGAAGGGCAGAAGTCACCATCCTGATTACACTCCCCACATGTCCCGCTGAGTGATTACTCTCCTGCACTTGGGAAAAATCACAAAACAAAGGGAGTCTCACAAGGTAGAGAAAAAATACTGGGTTTGAGGGGCTATGGCAGGGAGGCAGAAAGCGACTAGTGCAAGTCTCTCCACCAAGGTGTCCTGTTGGAGCTGCAGTTACCCTTCCACAATGATCCACTTTGCTTGAGGACAACAGGAGGGAAGGCGAGCAGGTTTTCTTTTCAGTGTCCTTCATTCTTCATCTCAAATTTGTCAAAGTCTCTTTTTCTGATTCTGCAACCTAATCATTAGCCCTAGACAGCCTTTGAGCATATCCCTATCTTTCAAACAAAGGCCTGAAAAAGAAATGGCAAGAACCACTCAAATGAATCTTTGGGCGAATCTACAAAATTCTGATTTTCCTCAAGGAGAAGGGCTCATTAAGTATAAGACCCTACATTCAGCCATGGCCCATGTTTACTAAAAAATGAAAAGAGGGAAAACTCTACAAAGCTAGCTCCAGAAAAAGAGGGGAGTCCATCCTGTGTCAAACCACAATCCTAGAAATTGAATGTTTAATTCATAGAGTAAATTACAAGAGATTACTTGTACAAGTAGCTGCAATGTCCTTAAAATTATTCTTTAACTGAGGAAAAGTTTTTTGACCTTTGGAGAAAATGCTTGCTTCTAGCTATGACTAAAAAGAGATTTCCTTCTTTCTCTGTTGTGTTAAGAATCTTTTCTTCTTATAAAGAAGGCACCACAGTGATTTATAACTGTCATAAAAGCCTGGAATCCTTTTGAGGTTAAGCTACTCAGCTATTCAACTTTTACTACAGAAACTTTGAAATTCAAAAAGAAAAAATAATGTAAGTTTTTGAAGGACATGTGTTGCTGTAGGTGATCCTGTTAATTAAAAGTGATTGCCTGCTAGGAAATCATACTTTAAAAAGTTTCATGAATTTATTAGAACCCTGAAGGTATCTTTGTATGCACAGAGCTTTACATGCCATTTATGCAATTTTGTTTCAGATCTGCTTAAAGCCTTGCTGACACTCCCAGAGCAGCTAAAGCTCTGCTAGCATGCGTATGTGTTTTGGCTAATTGAATTATGTGAAAATACATACTAATGAAGCGTTAGCAGAGGTGTTTGCTGAGTAGACTCTGAGTCTAATTTCTTCTAAATTAGGAGCATCTTTTTGCAGCAGATTAATGTTTTAGGAAAGGCTGTCTCCTTATAGGGGAAAAAAAAACATCAGTACATTGTCTAATATCGTGATTCATTTTTTTGCATGCTAAAAAGCTTTCTGCACACCTGATGAGTATGTTGCATGGGAGAAATCTAAAAGGCTTTTCTAATAATTTTTTAAAAGTGCACTACTCCGGAAAGACCAATGGTGTGTAATTATCCAATCAAATTAATGAGCAAATTATTAATCTTCTCTTAAAACATTTGAGGCTCACCCCCCCCCCTTCTTTTTAATACACTTTTAAGAATGATTGTGTTTGGTTTGGTTTGGGGTTTAATGAAGATTATTATTTAATGGTTCTATTTGGATTTTTTTTCCTCGTGTCTATATGGAAAATATTACCTCGTAACATTTGTTGCTGTAATTCTGCGATCCCCTGATGCTGGTATTTGAGAAACACGCTCTGGCAACGCGGCGGTTGTTTTTCACGGGAACCCAGGGAGCTATCAAAGTCAGAGAACGTGCCTCTGTTTGCAGGAGAGGTGGGCAGGCAGCGAGATCCTGCGCGCTCCTCGCTCGCTGGCTGCGGCTGCGGGCGGGCAGCAATCAGCTAATTGCCTACGAGGAATGGGGAATCGGTGTGTGCTCTCCGCGGTCGCCTTGTGGGTCACAGACACCCGAGAGCGGCTGTTCTCTCGGTCTCATCATCGTCTTGTACCTTGTGGTCTGTTGCAGGGGATGGGGCAGAGCAAGAGGAGCGGGCAGGCAGCGCTCATCACAGCGCGAGAGAGCCAAGCCCTTAGCTGTCCGTGAGCGCTCAGAGCGAGCACCACCGGGCTCGGGGACTGGAACCCGTGAGAAAACAGCTCCCGCGCTCTGCTCTCCTGCGAGTGCTTTAGGACGCACAATAGCCTTTAGAAATAAATGTAATCAGAGACTAATCTGGAAATCGTCCATGCAGCAAAAATATCGGATGCTTGGAAATAGTACAGCAAGCCGTGGAAAACAATTCGGGGGGCTGGGTGGGTTACATATGTAAGATCTAAGACAACATCCATACAGTATAAAATTAAATGTCACATCTATAGGTACATGTGTGTCATTTGTGCAACCAAAGAGAGAATCGTCCTTCATTATGAAAAGATGACCATCTTGATGGAAGTGGTGTGAGTCACGTAGGACCATGAAATCCGAAACAGAAAAGTTGCTTTTTCAGTTAACAGTTAGAGTTACCAACCCCAGAAACCCTTAACCAGGTCTGTTTTCAGTTTCATCACAGAGAGCCCCAACCATCTTCAAGGATCCCCACATCTCTCATCCCCACTGTCTGGGAGAGTTCCCTGGCCAGCTGGCATTTCCGTTGCTGTGATTATCATTGGTCACACATTTATGCCATATACCTCAGTAGATCTTTTTTTTACAATTCTTCTGCCTCCCTATCTGTGTTTTTCCCACAAATCTCCATCCTTTAGATTTTTTTTTAGGACAGCTCCATCATATTTTAGTAGGGTTCAAAGCCAGGATTGAAAGAGTTCAGTCCAAAGTTCTTATTCTGCACTTTCTAGTCACAGGTTCTTGTTCTGTTCCTCAGTTTCCAAATCTGCAAAATGGGCAAAAACAGACAAACCTGTCCTGCCTACCTTACAAGGTTTTTGAGATGACCAAATGTGGAAAAGGCTAAAACTTAAAGTGAACTGACTGTATTCCTGAAGAGTAAAATACCTGTATGATCTTATCGGGTCTTCCCACTTCTTTAAAATTTAACATTGCTTTCCATACCATGTTAACAAACTAGTGTAACTACTAATTTCCTGAAAGACAAGCTGATCAGCCTTGAAAAGTAGCTCTAGGGTGGAGATGAACTTACAGGTGATTTTTTAGGGTGTGTTCTTGGGATCAACACCTGGGAAAATGAAGGAAGAGGCGAGAGCGAAAGGAACAGAAATGGGCAGGGGGGGACGTTGAGCTGTGAGGCCGACTCTGCAGTCCTCAACCCATCCTGCTTGGAGCTCTGGGGCTGGAGTGCCCCTTCAGGATTGGCATGAGGAGGCTGTAAGTTTTTTCTCCCTATTTGAGCAGTCACTGGACTCAGGCATTCCCTGAAAGGGTTTCTTCAGCAAAGGCAAATGCCTTGAAGCAACTGACAGGCTAGGGTTTTCCAGCAGGAGGGAAAGTCCTCTGTTCTGAGCAGGGAGCTGCGGAGCACCCATCACAACATGCACCACGCTGATTCTTTTGCTTTGGGCTTTTTACTTTTGGAATATGCCTGGTGCATTGTCCTGCTGGCAGAATATATTGATTTTCTGTGCTGGTTTTCAGGAATTTCCAGGAGTCAGAACATCCAGGCTTTAGGTATAATTCTGTACAGGTCTGAATTAGCTCAGCATTTTTAACAATTTGTGTGGCAGGTCCCTGGTAAAAAGCTAACTTACTCTCACACACTGTCTCTCTGCCCCTAACCTAGTGTTGTTTGTGTTACCCTCTGGGATCTGCTTCTTAAATCATCCTATCCTAACTTTACCCTAGTCTCACCCTTCAGAGGTCTATCTCTGAGTCTCAGACTTGACTTCCAGGACCTGCTGTCACATATCAGTTCTGCACACACCCATCCCTGGACTCCAATCCAAATCAACGTCCCCTGAGTCCCCATCAGAGAAAGTCAGATATTACTAATCTGCTGTGTCTCCTTAAGCAAAGTCATTCAGTAACTCTTTCAACTATAAAGCAAGAAGATACATTGTTTTCTGGTTTGCCTCAAAATTATGAGATTTTATAACCCAATCAGACAATGAAAATACACATTGTGTTTCTATTGAGTGTGTATGTTTATATGTGTACATGCTCATGTACATGTTTGTGTGTGTTCATTTCATGCACATGTATTTGCTGAATGGTAGGTGGATGGATATGTGTGTCCCATAGCTTGCATGAATTGTGCAAATAGTTCATATTCTATCCATGTTTCATTTGTGTGCTTTTGGGGAACAAGTCATTATCATGCAATAGCTAATTGTAACATAAGAGTATTTTACAAGGAATTTTTGATTAATGTTATAGTATATGGAGCAAAAGCCTAGTATCTAATACAAACTAGATTTTCTAATAGCTGTCAGTAACTACCATATCATCTTCTAAATAGCTAAAGCCTATGTCTAGCACCAGTTTTCATTCATTCATTCATTCATTCAATAAGCATAGAATGCCTTCTATGTGCCAGACGCTGTCCTAATCGCTAGAGATGGGGCTATAACTAATTCACGGTCCTTGCCCCAAGCAGCAACCAGATGCCTTAATGCAAATTTAAACATGGTCATTAGAAAATGAAATTAGGCTGTATAGAAAATAACTATATTCCTTTTAGTAAGGTATGTTTTTAGTGATATGTCTTTTTAAAGATGCTCAATTTTTCTTAGGAGTTTATGTTAATATACATTTACATAGAAAGTTTTCCCCCACATACTGCCAAATATAATAGACATTCAGTTACTTGAATCCATATGGAAATTTTGTACTCTTAATTCATTTTCCAAATCATTTTATTGGGCCACTGTAAAAAAAAAAAAAAAAAAAAAAACCTCAAACGAAAACATATCTTTATTGTATTTTAAAGTATTTCCATATCTACTAACAACAAGCCTCACAAAAAGTGTAGTAAACCCATTATACTGAAAAGGAAACCAAAGCACAGAGAAAGTTAAGACTGTCCAAGATCACTCCGCTGATCTAGTAGGCAGATCTCTTTACACTGAGAAGCTTGTGTATTTAGGGTTTTCCATAGTAAGTGAATGACCATAACCTCAGTCTCACATGCCACTTCACCCCTACCAACAACCTCAGTGCAAATCTCTCAGCTTGTCTGCAATCTGTGTGGCTACTGCACAAAATGATTTACCATCAGTTGATATGAATTGCCAGTTAAGGAGGATAGCTATAAATTGATTAATGTTATAGTATATGGAGCAAAAGCCTAGTATCTAATACAAACTAGATTTTCTAATAGGGCCTCAATTTGTTGAGCCCCAGGACACAGTTCACACCTTCTATAATCTGGCTACGTGCTACTGGTTATAAGAGCTTGAAATTTTTCAAAATGATTACATATTTTAAGGAGTGCTTACAAATTCTCTGTGTACCTTGAAACATAATCCCTTAGCAGGCAGCAGAGAAGTTTCTGCCCTTCCGTATCATCTCCTCTCCCCTTTGATGTTCAAGTCAGTGCTCAGTAAGAGCACCCTGATCTTAGAGTCTATCAGGAGGACGCCTCTCACCAAGAAGCCTGGCTTCCAACGGGGAGGACACCTACAACGCTAGGATCCATAAAACGAGCCCTTGTCCTGCACCTACAGTAGAAAGTGAACCCAGCCTGCAATGCTTTACGAGGTTCAGAGACTTGAGCCACAGGAGACAACTGAGAGGAGCATGGCAGGTACAGTGGATGTGGGGCTTGCTCCAGAAAGCTCCATCCTAATAGGTTACAATCCTTCTTTCACTTCCCTTTATCTTAAATCCATCTGGCCTCTTTATGGATAGTAACCGCATGAAGCCATACTACAACGAAAAACAGAAAAAAATCAGGCAATCTACATATTTAGTTTCATAAGATAATTTACAAAATAATGCTGAAGAAAAAGGCATTTGATATCTTTGGTATAATTTTATCTTCATAAATTCAAATATTAATGATGGAGATACACACACACACACACACACACACACTTACATGGAAAAACATTGCAAAGATAATCAGCGAAATTCACCCTTCTTTTTTCTTAAATGAATGGGTGTTTTCTGTACTAAAAATGGCTTATTTTTCACACTAGGAAAATATGTTACTTATAAAAATAAGTATAATCCAAGCCTACCACATCTATGTATACATAAATATTTTTAAAGGTGAGAATTGGCTCCATAATAGGCATGTGCCCTTTCACAGTGCTGCTTGGTCCAGTCAATGACTGGATGCAAAGCCCATCTCCCAGTTTCCATGGGAAGGGAAGAACCTAACTTCAATTAACTCCAGTTAGCAACACTTAAGAATGATTTCCAGTGTTAAATTTCACATTATGAGTAAACATAATTCTTCTATGATCAAACTCTATAAGTTTAGGGCTGGGGTTGTAACTCAGAGGCAGAGAGAGCACTTGCCTAGCATGTGTGAAGCACTGGGTTCAATCCTCAGCACCATAAATAAATAAATAAATAAATAAAAATAAAAGTATTGTGTCCATCTACAACTAAAAAAAAAACCTTTTTTTTTAAAAAAATGTCTAAGTTTAGAAATGGGGTGGTGGCTCAGCGGTAGAGCACTCACCTAGCATGTGAGAGGCCCTGGGTTCAATCCTAAACACCACATAAAAATAAATAAGTAAAATAAAGGTATTTAAAAAAGTCTAAGTTTAAAGGAAAAAAGAAATAATGGTCAGTGATGACTTTTCCTTTTTCGAGAGAGTCAATTGCAGTTAATAGTTACTTCATTTTCATCTTTATTGTTTTATGTATTTTTAAAATTTTGCATAAGATAATTAACATTACTCTAAAATTTTGCCAAAAGTTCATTCCATGATTTCACAAATACTCAATAAAAATAGTGACTGTGTATATCAATTTGTCCTTGTTGACATGATGTTTTGTATTTATTTTCATGTTCTTTCATGTGCAGATTTTCTTTCCTCAAGGGGACTGCTGATTCCTAGTGGATCTTCTAGTTGTTTTGTTGTCTTCAGAGAGTTTTACACACATTGAAGTTTGCATGTTCATCTGTGACACTCTCATCTACGCGCATAAAGGAGAAAAAAGCTTGCTCTGACCAAATTCTGACTGCTACCATTGCTGATCTTCTGCAAAGTCAGAAAGTGTTCCATTATCTCTTGCATTTCTTCT